CTTCAAATGCATGGTAGCCACCAACCAAAAAGCATAAGAATAAATTAGTATGAACCAAAAACGTTCAACTTCTCACCTTTTAAAAACGGGCAAAAACAATATTCGAAGAGTACCAGTGAGCCACCGCAGCTTGTCTTCCGTTGTCTCCCTGTTGTGACGTTGCGAAATCCTAACTTTCATTCGAAAAATACTCCTTTCTCCCTTAAACTGAGCTCAAAGAAATTTTCCTCGCCATTTTGGAATTAAAAGCCCGAAGATCGCGTGAAAATCTCTTCAAATAAGCATAATAATGAAAGACAAACCACGCAATTCCGCGTTGTAATTCGGCGGGAAATGACTGCGCGCCGTCACGGTTGATGTTACCCGGAAAGGTCACATGACCTTACAATGTCATGACAACAGTTTGGATCTCACTGGCCATTCGGGCAAAACCTGTAAGTGCAGGCACAGGATAACCAGACTCAACACAGGATTTTTATGGCAATTTATCATAAGTACCATTAAACGGTTAAAATGCACATTAAACAGCCATTACGGTGTACATACCTCATAAAGGATGTCTCTGTGTTGTTTTCTTACTGTTTCCTGTCCTAGATTTTTATTTTTTTTAATTTTTTTTTTCTTGGGACTGGCCATGGGTAGACTGGTGCTTCCAGGATCATGCAGGAGCAAATGACGTAAGCTCCTACAGTGCTTCTCACTCTTCTCAGGGAGACGGGCGGTTGATATTGGTGATGAGCATCTGTAAGATAGCGAGGACTTAGCCTGCGTAGCAGGCGCTTGGAAGTAGTGGGCGTGAAAAAGAACGGGCGCGTTCGTTCTTTTTGGCGCCCACTACTAGTAGTCAGGACGGCGCAGCAAACATGAGAAATAAAAAATCTCCGCTCTCAATTTCGCGTTACCACCACTTTCTGAATGCCTAGGCAAACCGAACTTAAACACCTGAAATCGAGCCTACGATTGCCTGCGTCACAGACGCTCTAAATTACATTGTTTACTATACGCGATCCTTGCCAACTCCTTTCTGGCAATTTTGACATGTCACTGCGCCCATCCGTCACGCACACGTAAGAATTAGGCCAATCATGAGGCGCATAAGAAACCCGTGAGAAACCCGCCTATCAGAAACGCTCACATATGTCCTTGCGGCTCTGCAGGAAATTAGAACGAGCTTTTGTTCACTAATTCGCAGACTGACTATACAAATGTAGCCTCCCCGCAGACGTCCTTTGGGGTTCGTTCGTCACGCATTCGAATGCGTGGCGAACGAACCCCAAAGGACGTCTGCGGGGAGGCTAATACAAATGGTCTTGACGAGTGCGTGGGCCGGCTGCAACGCAGGCTAGCCTAAGAGGTAGCAGAATTTCCACCATTTTTGTACAAAGTCCACAAAATGGACAGTTTTTAACCCCGAGATTAATGAAGAGATTAAATTTTCTTTCTTCACTCCCGCAAGAAACACCCGGAAAACCGTTTACATTAGGTGATGTATTGTGCCTAGAAGAAGTAACAAAGCAAGGTTTCTGTAAAATACTCTGAATAAAACTCCGTTTTCGGGGAAGCCTCTTATTAGAATTTAATCATTCAAGTGGGTGGGATGGGGGTGAGCGCTTATTTGAGTTTGATTGGGGGGAGGAGGGGTGGGCCCTTATTCGAGGCTGGGTGCTTATTAACTTTTTCTGCCTTTAGGATGGGCGCTTATTCGAGGTGGGCGCTAATTCGAGGTTGGGCGCTTATTCGAATAAATACGGTACTTAGAGAACTATGGGACGGGAAAGTTGATAGCGAGTAAGGCTTCGGAAAAATCAAAAGGCAAACAAATTCATACTTTATTATTTGTTTATTCAGTCATACGAAATTTTACTTATTGTTGAGAAACTTTAAACTAGTCGTTAACCCCGCTTCAGTCGTTATTCCTCAAGCTTTAAGATAGCGCGCGTGGTGCTTGATGTGATCTTCTACGAATGAAGCGATGAAATAATAACCGTGATCGTAGCCCTATGGAAAAAAATTAATGCATTACCTTCAATGAACTATAACTTTTAAAAAAACGTTAAATATCCAAAAATAAACGGCTTTCTTTCAGTCATTCAAAATGTCACTGGTATCGCAGGGTCATGGGCTTAGAATACCGTTCACTAAGCCGTAACTTCTCCCGTCAGGGTTTCTCTTAAACTAAAAAGGGATCTTATGCAACGAGGACGGTGACGTACCGGACGTCAAAATTGATATCTTCTTTTTGCGGTAGACTCAACAAAGAAGTACAGCACTCAGATTCGTTGGCGAGACATCAGCGTTCTTGTTGCTCAAGCTCGCTGTATTAATTGCGGTGTGTTATGTACACCTTAATTGCGTACTGCGATAATCTTTGAAGTGTTTAATTTTTCTTCAACGGTTCAAATACGATAGTTCAAGCTGACTTTCAGTGCGGGCTTTCAGTCTCATCTCAGTCCGATACAGACAGTTACGACAGGCGTTTCACTGCAGGGCCCAGGTCCACCCTCGTTCCCAGCGAAGCAAGAGAGAGAACCCTGAGAACGAGGTTAGGGTCGGCCGGGCTTGAAACGGGTCACTAAAACCTGAATTATTCGTTCGTGTTCTTGTTCTACTGCTAATTTACAAAGATTCATTATTAATTCATTCAAATTCGTTAGACGGGATATACCTCCTGCATTCTTAAGGTTACAGGAACATTTTTGGACCTGCAGGCCTCCACAAAGTTCTCCGGAAGTAGCTGGGATGGGTAAAATTGGTCTTTGGTGCCCTATAAAAAAGGTTAAAGAATGTATGGTAAGTGTTTTATAGCAAATTATAAAGTATTAAGGATGGAAGGGATTGACATGGACAACGGTTATTAGATGAAAAAAGGTATGATATGAAGAATTATGCATTCGGCCTTGGCGGATATCACCTCCGTAACCTTCAAAACATTTGCCAGCTGTTCCTCGGATACGATACGAGCAAAAATGTTATGAAGAAACCGCCAAGACTTTGAAGCCAATCAGAGACAGAAATATTTTGATATTGATATTTTGGGAGGCTAACAGTCATCGTATTGTCCTAATTATGTCAGTTCACCTGATCAATGAGTATATCTGGAATTGGTCCATCATAGTTTTTCACCAGTTCGGTAGCATCGTACTCCTGAAAGTTACAAAGAAAGGCAAAATTTGATCCACAAATTTTATTTTCTTTGTTTGATTTTATTAGCTTTGCTAAAGAAGACACACAGAGGAAAAAAAACAACTTGGTTAAATCAATGGCTATGAAGGGCAGAGGAGGGAGAAGGTGGCAGGTCAAAGTGTTTTGTTGGGGGGAGGTGGCACTCAGTGAGTCACTACTTTTTCTTGTCTGTACATTGTATAAAACGAAAAGATTCCATACTACCATGGGTCTGTTCAGTAACAGATCACCGAAGACGTCAAAATGTGGTAAAAACACCATTAACACACTCACCTGCAGCTCGTGTGCCACTTTTTTGTTTTTACCACATTGCGACGAGATCAGTCATCTGATACTGAACAGACCCACGGCAACATGGAATCTATTTGTTAAATAGACAATGTATTACCTTCCATGATTCTTTATTGCTTCCCAGGTATCCACTAAATGCCTTTTCTCCCCATGGACATTTCACTGGATTGCAAATTGGTGCAAAGGCTGACACTGACTGAACAGAGTAAAGAAACACAGTTGCCACATATAATTAATATGCACTAAGGTTACCAAATATCTTAAAGGATCTTTTGCACCCAAGCCATGTGGTGTGTTCCAATTAAACTGCAGATGGCCTAGACCCATAAATGCTTATAGCACTGGCTTAACCTTTACAATGTAAGTATGGTAATCACTAAATTAAATTCTAAATGATTTAGCAAAAAATCAAACTGTAGACTTTTGAAAGATTTTCAAAAAAGGCAAGCCACAAAACAACTCTTTTAAGGCTTCAACTCAAAGCCATTTTTTTGTGTTTTTTGTTAATTTGTTTGTTTGTTTTTTCCAGACTCTGAGCACTAAAACAATATGTCTCGACAGTTTTACAAGGTAAAGGTATATGAAAAGTTACATTAAATATATTATAATTAATTTATTGTACTGCAATCTGCCCACCTTATAAAATCCTGGATTCTTGAAAAAACAGGTTAAAGCTCCATGACCACCCATGCTAAGAACAAATTACAAAGAAATAAACTAATACATATTGTAATATGTATTACTGAACATCTAAAAAGAACATAAAAAGTCAGCTTTGAGATAATCTCCCAGTTTTCATAAGTGTGCTTAAGTGACTACAAAACTTTCTGTAAAACATTGTACTCGATACATTCACTGAGTCACACACAAAGAACAAAGAAATTACCCATCTAAAAATGGGGAGCTGTTATAAAAACTAAGATATGGCAGAACTGTCCCACATTATGGCAAATAGGGTTTAAGTTCTTGGTTTAAGTTGCTTACCTATGACCAAACACTGACTGCTTGTCTGCAAGAACTGGGAAGTTGCTTTGAATCAAGGCCGGAAGCTGAAGAAAAAAAACACAAAAATCCAAATAATAAATTCTAACCTCATTACAGATTTTACTACTGACAGATGAATTTGGAGAGTGTAAAGTAAAAGAGCAATTTAAGTTCTTTCATGGTATGACTTCTTTCTCCTGTTCTTGGTAATTAGAACATGTAACCCTTTAAGCCCCAATATCCATATACAAATCCTCCAAACTGATCTCCATAGATCTCCTTTAACAGTTAGTTGAGAGAATTTGATAAAGATCAAAGCATTTTCCCTTAGGTGATCATTTTTTTAATTCTCACAACTTAATCTCTTGACATTGTATGGATATTGTTAGGAGAAAATTGTTGTTGGTCACTATTGGGACCTAAAGGGTTAAGCACTTCCACCAGGCAGAGAACACTGTAGCCAATAACCTCTTCCTTGAAAAAAGGGGAAATAGCTTTACTAACACCAGCCTATAAAGAAAATCTCTGCATCTCACATGTGATACTTGCAAGACATTTATAAACGTTTAATAGATCAAAATTAATAGTACACCCCTGAGGTACACTGTAAATCTAGGTGTGGTAGGGGTGAGTTGTTCGAAGCCCCTACATGAAATCATTTGTCTCAAAAGGTAGTTAACAAAACAAATCCTTTGTTTACATATAAGCTTGCATGGTAATGTTAATTTTTCCTAGCTAGATTTATAACCTCTTTTGTGACATAAGAGAACATTCTGTAATTGGTTTTCCACTTCTCTTCAGTTGCATCAATGTAGAAACCTGCACCAGTTCCAAAGTCGTAGCTGTCATCTTCTCCTTCAATACCACAGGATCCTACAAGTAGTATGAAATAATAACAATGAAAATATAATAATCATCATTGTTGTAACAACAGACCCAGTAGCAATGGTAACAGTAAAGTTGCAAGGTATCAGTAGCAACAGCACTTCTGGCATTTGCAATCCCTATGCCAATCATAATAGTGATAGCAATGGCAATGCTTAAAAAATGAAAGTGATAATCATGATAATTTATGACAATGCCGTTTATGAAAATGATTAACAATGATAATGATGGTGGTGGCAGTGTTATCAGTGATGGTGGTCATGATGACAATGATGATGATAATGATGATGATGACGACGATAATGATGATGATGACGACGACGACAATGATGATGATGATGATGATGATGATGATGATGGTGATGATGATGATTGGTTACTATCAGGGTGAAATTACAGTAAATGACCTTTTAAATGCCTCTTATCTAATAAAACACCCCCCTCTATGCTGTTATTTAAAAATAACTTTAACACAGTTATTGCATTAAACACCCGTCTCTAACAAATCCGCCCTCTCTGATTGACACCGCTCTACAAAATACTAGGAATTAGCNGAAGCCCCTACATGAAATCATTTGTCTCAAAAGGTAGTTAACAAAACAAATCCTTTGTTTACATATAAGCTTGCATGGTAATGTTAATTTTTCCTAGCTAGATTTATAACCTCTTTTGTGACATAAGAGAACATTCTGTAATTGGTTTTCCACTTCTCTTCAGTTGCATCAATGTAGAAACCTGCACCAGTTCCAAAGTCGTAGCTGTCATCTTCTCCTTCAATACCACAGGATCCTACAAGTAGTATGAAATAATAACAATGAAAATATAATAATCATCATTGTTGTAACAACAGACCCAGTAGCAATGGTAACAGTAAAGTTGCAAGGTATCAGTAGCAACAGCACTTCTGGCATTTGCAATCCCTATGCCAATCATAATAGTGATAGCAATGGCAATGCTTAAAAAATGAAAGTGATAATCATGATAATTTATGACAATGCCGTTTATGAAAATGATTAACAATGATAATGATGGTGGTGGCAGTGTTATCAGTGATGGTGGTCATGATGACAATGATGATGATAATGATGATGATGACGACGATAATGATGATGATGACGACGACGACAATGATGATGATGATGATGATGATGATGATGATGGTGATGATGATGATTGGTTACTATCAGGGTGAAATTACAGTAAATGACCTTTTAAATGCCTCTTATCTAATAAAACACCCCCCTCTATGCTGTTATTTAAAAATAACTTTAACACAGTTATTGCATTAAACACCCGTCTCTAACAAATCCGCCCTCTCTGATTGACACCGCTCTACAAAATACTAGGAATTAGCAAAATGGAGAAAAATCATTCAATTGTCTCAGTTTCTTACTGGATTAACAAGGCTCTATATTTCATCTTGCTCAATGTCAAGTTCAAAGTAAGGATAGACTAATGATGGCAGCACAAAAACCCTGACTAGGGATCCTGACAGCAATGTTGGGATTTGAAAGAGCAATGTGGATCTCTAGACGGCCTAGACATATCAATTGATGGAGTCATGATATTCCGCTATTTTCAAACTACCTCCACATTTTTGCCGAAATCATATCAATTTTTTAAAGCTTGTTACAGTTAGCTATGGGAATCTCTCTCTAAATAAATGCCTCCTATCTATCAAATGCCCCTGCTAGGACCCCTAAAATTAAGTAGATGCCCCCCGGGCATTTAATAGGTCATTTACAGTTTTGTAATGGTATTGCATGGCTAAGGTATGTCTAACATCCCACATTCTCCCTATGTTGGTTGGTAGTTGATTCTAACTGATGTTTATGTTGGAATTTTTCAACTTGTTAACCACATAATCACTAAATGCAGACAACTCAAACAAGAATTGCAAGTGCTGCAAAAAATGTTAAGTCCTCTCTGTTTATCTTTTTTTTTTTATACTACTGAAATATTACAATTATTTCTTTATATTACTGGAATATTACTATATTACTGGAATTGACTTACGAGGGCTTGTATCAGGTGCTACAATCATGATGCCTTGATCAGCTGCAGTTCGCTGTGCACCAGCCTTAGTGATGAAGTTCTGTTCTGTACATGTTAAGCCTGAACAACAAAATTAAACTTTCAAAAGTTGAGTAGATGCCATCTTCAAGGAAGGATTTCATTTCAGGTTCAAGACTTGATATATTGAATTCAGTGTTTGTCTGGTGACATCATGTACTTAACTTTGTGTTCTGTTAAGTTCATATATTTTCTAATCAACGAAGTTATTAATCCACTTACGGCAGGAACACAGACAAGCAGGTCCAGTGTTTTTCATGACTGCTTAAATGCTTTAAACACCACAAAACCATTGCTCATTAAATATAATTTGACTCTGTTGGTAGAGATTGAAACTCATTCTTTTCTTCAGTAAAGATTGATGGCTGCTGTCTGCATATCATTCAAAACTGACTGAATAATATTTGACAAACAAATGGAGATATGTCTGGCTAAGCAGGGCTGTGCTATTTGAGGACTCAAAGGGATTGTAGAGTCTGTTGACTTTGACATCCTTGGTACATTAAGCAATATTAATCGCTGTTAATACTACCTGGTATTAAACTATCACTTTTTCAAGTAAACCTAATAGCATGTTAATGCTTCAGGGCACTGTTCGGCACAATCCCTTATAGCAATAAAATAATTAATTATTAGTCGCAAACACCATCCTCTGAAACCCAGGGGCAGATAGTGGGGGCAAGGGAAAAACTAAAGGGGCAGAAAAAAATGGCACAAAGAAAAGTAAAGAACAGCGACACTTGCAGTTACCTGAGAGCCAATAAAGAACTGGAACTTTCTCTGATGCTGCTTGAGGTGGAACATAGACTGCAAAATTCATGTCACATTTCAATTCTGCACTGTAAAAAGTTAAAAACACAGAAAACCAATAAAAATTGTTAGCAAAATTACCCAAACGTTTTTTAACAGCTGGTTTACAGCTGATTTTTTTGGATAGAAAAATTTGGAAAGTATTTTTTTTGCTGGCTTGATTTAAGCAGGGATTTTGGGGGGTATTCAAAACAATCTGAAGATTTATGGTGGTACCCATGTACGTGTATGATAATTTCAAATGGTATCAATATCATCAGAACGGGGCCCAGTTGTTCGAACCCCGGTTAGCATTAACCTGCGGTTAAATTTTAGCCTAAGATTCTTTTTCTATTTTATAAAAAGCATTCTTTCAGATAGTTTTCCCTATTCTTTTTAGAGTATCCAATCATAAAATTGTAGACAAAGAGAATTAAACTGAATCTGTTATTTAAGCTCTCATATATCTGTGTTCAAATTTCCCACTAACCCTGGGTTTTTTTAACCCCTGGGGGGGGGGCACTGCCATATATGGGCTATATAGGTATGTGCCGCTGTGAAGGGTATGGTTTCAGGCAGTTTACTCTAGGATAGGGTATATAAATCAGAGTGTTTCGGTCTAGAATAGGGTATCATTTTTCAGGAAAATGATCAGTTGGTTGAAGATTTTATCTAGACAAGGGAAACAGCTACTCTAGGTTAGGGAGGATTTGGGGAGTTTACTCTAGTATAGGGTAGCAAAATTCAGCTGAACTAGCTCTGTTATAGGTTAAGGGTTCCAGGGTCCCAGCGGCACATCCCCACCCAGAAATTCCTAAAGTACCCCCCCCCCTCGGGTTTTAACCCAGCTTCAAGCAACCCAGCCCTGGCCAATATCCTGTCTGAATGACTCACAAACCTAGGAAAGGGGACTTTAGGGAGTTAAAATCCAAAAAAATTCAAGGGGAAGCATGCGCCCACACCCTCCTAAAAGCTGAAGCCTTCTGGTGTTCGTTTCTGGTGTTCGTTCTGGTGTTCGCTTAGTAAAGCGGTCAGTATTTAATCCTAGATCCGCGCCGCGCAACCAACTAATGTCAACAGATATATTGTCTGAGACTTGGCTAGCATGTTGACTAATAGAAGACTGATCAATATGTTGATCGATATTGGCCGCTATGTCAGCCATCAAATCGACCAAGTGTCAGCCAATAGTGATGACTGTTTCTTGGCCCAGGGGTACCTTAAGTACACCATTTTAGTAGGTTCATGTGACAGACATCCAGCATTCTACTAAGACTGGAATAGGATGATAAGTGGCATATATTTTCAAATCATCCTACACTGCTCATCTTTCAAATATTTATCAATAATTGTATGAGAGAGCATTAAAGGAGCCGCAGGGGGAGGGTGGGGAGGAGGGTTTCGGGGCGGCGTGGGCGTACGGGGGGAAAGACGCGGTGATTGACTTTAGGATTCTTCAAAATTGTGGAGGAATCCTTTGCCTATAAATGGGAGCAAAACTAAAAACATTGGTACGTGTTAAAAAGGCTGTAGCACAAACCTGTGATGCTTGAAAACCTTTTGCAAACCACCAAAGCACTTTACGCTCGAGGTTTCTTGCACGGCCATGTTGGTTTGGGTAATTTTCAGTGTCTGACGTGATATATGCTTCAGTTTTGAAATAGGAGAGACGCTTGACCAAATAAAATTACCAAATCGGAGATACTTATATCGTAAAATGGTGATATTATCACTCAGATGAATTCAAATAAAGGACCCTACTCAACAAGTCTATGCTTTAGCAGTAGCTAGTGCCAGGCTCCAGAAAGGAATTGAGCAAGTACGGTAGTTACAAATAGATTAAGTATGTAAAATTTCCACTCACGTCCGCAGCGGTTTCCGTAGTGTAGTGGTTATCACGTGCGCCTCACAAGTAGGCTCGACTTGAGCCCCTGACGACGCGCAAGGTCGCCGGTTCGAGCCCGGCCGGAAACACTTCTTTTCTTTTTTTTTTTTTTCTTCTTTTTCTTTTTTTTTTCTCAAGTACTAAGATGTATGATCGGTTTTCAAATCTAGTTAATAAGCCCCAACAGTGAGCAGCACCAAATTTCTCCCAACTACACCTCTGCCAGATCACCATTAAAGAGAATGATCAGCAATGATTAGCCTGCGTAGCAAGCGTTTCCGTTTGGTTTGGGAGACCGCGGAACGGGATTCTCGGTTTTGGCTGCGCGAGAAATGAAACAAGAGCCAAAATTGACTCTCGTTCCTCGTTCTTTGCTCCTAAACCGCATGGAACCGCTTGCTACGCAGGCTACCAATGATTAAATTTCTTGATGTTTCAACAAGGCTTAAAAGCACTACAATAAAAACAAACATGGAAAACATATCATTTCAACGTTTCAACAACGAGTGGACTTTGTTCTTACTGATCAAGACAACGAAATTGGTGCACGACAGAATAAAGTGTGGAGAATGTCATGTGACAGGGATAGTGATTACTTCAAGTGACCAAATAAGATGAAGAGTCTTGGGTTTGGCAGCCCTAAGTTTGTATCTCTTGAGACACTTAGGACTAGAAACCGGTATAGCCGTGATAATACAATCCTTATAAGAACTGATGTCGAGCCCCTAGATATTTCCTGATTTTATGCATGTTTGGAAAATTGGACATTTCGTCCGTGATCTCCCCAGTGAGGACTGTGGCTAGCAACTACCGTGTAGCATGAAAATTTTACGGATTCTAATTTTTGCGAATTTGCGGATTGACCTCGATCCGCAAAAATTAGTTCCCGCAGAAAAAAAACCGCAAAATAAAACGCCGCAAAAAATTAACTCCCTTCAGTCAAATTAAAAACTCTGCTTTTAATGGACTTGTTGTGTATGGTGGGAATAGGCTTTTTTTTTGTTTTGCTATTGTCCAGTCCCTTTGTGCAGTAAGATATTACAGTAATTACCGTATTATTCTCCATTAAATATGTAAGTAGAGTGAACTTTGACTCAACATACCGTAAAATAAAAGTTGAAAATACCATATTAAGGTTTCTTTCACTTAAATATTCTGCTACTTGAACAGAGAATCGCAAAAATTAGTTCCCACCAGAAATTTCAGTCATCTCGAACCGCAAAAATTTGTTCCCCCAAACCACAAAAAATCGCCAATCCGAAAAAATAAAACTCCCGCAAAATGTTCATGCTACACGGTAGAATATTTTAGTGTCTCCTTGTTACACCACCACTCAATGAAACACTGAAAACGAAATGAAAGCAAAGTTAAATTTATATTAAAAGTTAATTTTCATGAATTTCTTGACTGCTTTTGGAGAAAAATGGAAAGAATATATAAAACTGTAACGAAATGTAACAGGCGAAATGAAATTTTTCAGACGTTTGTGTGGTGGGGACACAAATTTGCCCCCACCATACAAACCTCTCTAAAATTAGGCAACGTTGCTAACAAATCACGTTCAAACTTGACTTTTTTAGTATAGAGCGTATTCAACCGCGTGTCCAGCATCCATGCAAATTTATGGGAAAAAAAGAAATTCTTTACGTGATAAAAAAGTCCAACTCCCACAGGATTTGTTTGGAACACCAATGTCGCCACCGTTTCATTGTTTTGAAACACCAATATGGCCGCCGTGACGTTATGTGATCATTGTCCTCCTCAATATTGTGTTTTTCGCGGCATTTTCCTTGAATGCGAGCTTCTTATGTGACAGTGTGATAGAAGTGTTTTTTTTAACTGGCAATTTTAATCAAAAGTTTTCCTCAACTTGCTGCGCTTTTCGAATGAATGATGATTTTTGTCTACCTAAAAGTTTTTAAAGTTTGTATTCTAGTTTTTTCGCACTTTTAACTTTAGTCGTGACGAGCGGGAGCAAAACAGGCTATTGTAGTCTTCGCATATTCATTAGTTTTGTCAAACTGATAGTTGTGATCAAGATCACTGAGCAATCAAATGTTACGAGTCAAGGTTCTTGTGCTAGCAATTCTTTAACACTAGTTTTCCTCAACTTTCTTCACTTTTATTGACTACCGAGAAGTTTGGAAAGTTTGTTTGTTTCTTTCCCGGTACTTTTAAATTTATTCAGAGGCAAGCTTGTGGTAATTCCCACGGCAATAGGCCTTTTTCAAAAATACCCTGATACTCTTTGTTGTCGCTCCAAAATTTTGCATTAGCATTGTTTTCAATTTCTCTGGTGGCGAAAGGCGTATTGTTTCATTCACTGGCCAGTTTTGTCATCGATTTGTCAAGTTTTAATCAAGTCGGCATTTTTTTTCTGAATGCGTCTAATTCAAGCGTTAGTCTTATTCTTCATTGATGAACTGAGTGCTCTTTTGCTCAATGTGTTGTCAATTCCCATGCATTACGTTATGTAATTGAGCGAGTCGGCAAACTTTTCTCTTTCAATGTGACCAGTCTATGCTTTGATTACCCATTGTTGAACATAGAGTGCGTGCTTTTCTCAAGTACAGTTTCAAGAAAAGATTTATCAAAAACATTTCTCGTTCTGGTTTGAATTTTAATCGAGCGTCCGTATAAATGGAGACACCAGTTTCAAGTTGATTTAACTGTGTTTAAAGCCAGAAACCTCCGTACCTTTCATCGTCTGCGGTGCAGTAAAGACCAAACTCAGCTAGAAGATCTGTGGTCTGGAGTGAAAGTCAAGATTCTCTTTTGCCTCCTCGAAAACAGCAGGTTTGTTCTTACTTGAACTTTAACTTTTGGTTACGTTATAGTTTCCTTTTTTTCTGAAAAAAAATTATAAGTCAATTTTAAGAAACGGTGATAAGCGTCCAAATTACTTTGACGGTTCTTACTGGTTATTTTTGCTGCAGAAAGAAATTATTCTTTTAGACTTTACATAACTGATTTCTGTCATAATTCTTTCCTCTGTGTGTTATTGTCGCCCGAAGTTACCTGTGAACATGCATGATCCCTTTGTTATGTTGGCTCAATGAATGTTGAACTGGAGGGACAAAAATGTAATGAAGGTTTACGTGTAGTCAACAAGATAAACGCGAGTTGCAATTGTTCGGGTCAAATAGGCCTATTTTGTTAATGTTTATGTAGTTAGAAGTTTTCGCTTTGATTAAATAAGTGTTCACTTTTGTTGCTACCCTAAATAAACTTCAAACGTTGGACAATTTTTGGTACTCTGACTCAGACTATATGCTTTAATAGTCGATTAACCGCGACTTTATTAATGACTGTACGATTTGAATTTAAACTATGCTTTTATCCCGCACAAACGGAATGCAAACAAACCTACTATTGGCAATTTTGGCGGTAGAGTGCTTAGCTTGCACCGGAGAGAATTACAATGCTAGAAATGTTCCCGGGACGGTTCAGGCTGACATAAGATAATAGTAGACCGAGGAGCAAGACAGGTCTAAATAAAACTGAAGGTAACGAGAAACCAGTTAAACAAGAAAATAAGGTCATTTCGGAATGCAATTCTTGCACGTTTGTACGGTAATATTTACAACAACAAATAACACTTTCCATTTTTTAACAGGTACTACCTGACCATAAAGAAAAGCGGCCTTGCAAGAAAGTCTTCAAAATAACAATAAAAGTACTGCCACGGTCCTTAACAAGGATATGCAGCCAACTCATTTGTGTGTCTGTCATTTATTCAGTATATACCAAACCTCTGGTAAGTTCATTTTTGCACAACACAGTCGGATGGTCGGGTCTTCAGGCAATTTCTCATGTTTTCCAACAGGTTATTATTTTAGATAAATTTTAAGAACAGGTCGTTGACGTGGAACAGAAGATAATTATTAGAAGTAATAACCTACTGTTTCAATTCAGTGACCTTAATAATAACCTGGTGGTTCTAAAACTGTGGAAAAGTACGCGCTCGGTAATTGTATTTTTAATAAGGTCTCGAGGCTCAGGAATTAGGCTGTATTTCTTCTCATGTTGCATCTGTCCTTCCATTATTTTTTTTGCGAGTTTTTTGCTGTATTTGACAGTTCTGGTTTGGTATATACACCAAGAAAACTGCATGTTGTATTTCCTCATATATTCAACCTCTTAAAGCCTAACAAAGAAAAATATCACAATCTAAAAAAAAACTTCACACTTTTCCATTCCGTAAATATAGTTCGGGATCCTAGGGAACACGAAACCTTACCCACAGCTACATTCCCCAAAAAAACCAAACATCAAAAGTAAATAAAATAAAAAAAAAGTGTAGCAAAAATATAGCAAAAGTATTGCAACAAAAGTACTCAAAAGAACACCAACGACCAACTATCCAGCAAAACACAACAAGGTAGGTTAAAAGGTAAGTAACAAGGTAAGTTCTTCCTTTTAGCCCTGGGGACTAAGTGCTCCGCCCAAGGGGGGAGAGCCCTGGGGACTAAGTGCTCCGCCCAAGGGGGGAGAGCCCTGGGGACTAAGTGCTCCGCCCAAGGGGGGAGAGCCCTGGGGACTAAGTGCTCCGCCCAAGGGGGGAGAGCCCTGGGGACTAAGTGCTCCGCCCAAGGGGGGAGAGCCCTGGGGACTAAGTGCTCCGCCCAAGGGGGGAGAGCCCTGGGGACTAAGTGCTCCGCCCAAGGGGGGAGAGCCCTGGGGACTAAGTGCTCCGCCCAAGGGGGGAGAGCCCTGGGGACTAAGTGCTCCGCCCAAGGGGGGAGAGCCCTGGGGACTAAGTGCTCCGCCCAAGGGGGGAGAGCCCTGGGGACTAAGTGCTCCGCCCAAGGGGGGAGAGCCCTGGGGACTAAGTGCTCCGCCCAAGGGGGGAGAGCCCTGGGGACTAAGTGCTCCGCCCAAGGGGGGAGAGCCCTGGGGACTTATTTTAGAGCGGACTATATTTTAGAATCATTGACTGTTTTTTTAGAGATTCTTTGCGTTTACATTTTTGTTTTGGCTTTTTGTCTTTTGTCCGCCATTCGTAAATAATGGCCGAAACAATTTAAGTACTTTGTCAGCTAATCAGCTCTTTTGACCGGATTCCAGACAGATTTTTGTGATCAGTATAGAATTTTTGTCGCTGAGTAGCAGACTTTCTTCAACGCGAAATCTCCCTAGCGATGAAGAGTGAGGAGAAATGGATGTTTTTCCCGGCTAATTGGCTAAAATGTAAAGAAAATGATGAGGTTTTTAAATGCAGTTTTACTCATAGTGGTTTGATTCGATCGAAAACTATGTACGTGAAAAAAGAGCGGGATTGCTTTAACAGGTTACGCGATTACCATTTTTGTATGTAACTTGGTTTACGTCCAGACAAGTTTCACTTGTAATTTTATAACCGCTTGATAAATGTTTATAAAAAGTTGACAATTTAGTTTACTCCCTGAAAAATCCAGTCACTGTTCTTCGGGTTTTCTTGGGTTGCCTGTTTCCCGCAGAGGCCCCTGGGAGCAGTGCCGCTGTCATGCGTAGTAACAGCACGAGGTAGGTTGAAGGACGTGCAAGATGTCGCCGCATCGGCGAAAGAAAAGACGAGTGAAAGTGCCAATATCTTCTTTATAACATGTAAACCCGACCATGTCGGGAGGCATGCCGCTAGAAAGATGCTTCAAAGAAGCAGAGGAGACCGGAAGATTAAATTTAAGCCTGAAAAACCTCCGCGATTTTCCAGATCCGACGGACGATTGCGAACTTATAGATGTAATTGAAATAGGTTAGTAATAAGTGCAACTTTTAAATATTGAATTGTGTTCAGCTCATCGCTGAATGTCGCTCTTTGTTGCTGTGATGGGGTTTGGGTACTTGCAGTATCATTGTTGGATGTTATCTTGTAGATCTATCCAAGAACAAGCTCTCAGAATTTCCCGCTGAGTTATGTGATTTTGTTATGATCGAGAAAGTTGATTTATACCACAACACAATTCGAGGAGTTCCAGAGTCCCAGCTGAGCGAACTGAAATTCCTCCGAGTGCTTAACTTAAGGTGGGTGGCTGAATAAAAACTGGCAATAAATAATTTGGTAATTTATGTTGAACACATGATAATCCGTTATAAATTAAGTTGACAAAAGGTCACTTATTTATTAAGGCTGATCTTAACAGTATCCTTACTAAGCTTAATCCAAATCCTCTAGACAGTCTATGATGAGGATCATGTTAGCTTAAATCTTCATGTACTTATTATTATTATTATTTTTATGTTTATTATTGTTTTCATCATCATTATTATCATTTTAAAATTATTTTAGCCATCTGGTTTTCATTTGACAGTATTTCTATCAATTCGTCATTTACAAAATTTGGCATATAAAGTTGTTTCGTTCTCTACTTCATTCTTTCCAAGAACTATAAAAGAATGGAACAGCCTGCGGCAAAACATGGTTGAGTTGCCATCACTGGCCTCTTTCAAGGCCTGGTTGGCTAAACATTTTTGGAACCGACAAATAAATTTAACATAAACATATTATTATTATTATTGTTATTATTATTATTATTATTATTATTATTATTATTATTATTATTATTATTATCATGACAGTATACACATATGGATGTCATTTAGCAACTACCACCAGGGGCGTTGTACGTGACCTTGGGGCTCTAAGGAACAGCCCCAGAAAAAAATTTATTACACATATATATAAATAAATAAACAAATAAAATTATTACTATATATATGTTTTAATAAATAAAATGATTATACGATAAATTCAAGAACAATCTGCAACTAGAATTCTAATGTCTAAGTCTGTAGATTTCCTTAACTCCCATTCACAAGATTAAAAAGGTATATACATGTCTTTCATGATTAAAATGAGGTTTGTACTAAGTTCCAACAACTTTAAAAGTCCGGGCAATGTCTAAACTACTCTAGATGATAGATCTCTGCATTCTCCTTCACACCTCTTTGCCCTTGCTTCCTAATAACTGGGTACAGGACTCCTCCATAGAACTAGACCATCCTCTCAAGACAAACTGCCTGCTGATATTAGAAATGTTGCTTCCTTAAATAGTTTTAATAAATCAATCAAGACTTTTCTTTTTAACGAATCACTTTAAATGTTATTTTTTACTCTTTCTCCGTTCAATATTGTATATAATTTTATATGAAATTTTTGTAAAGCGCTTTTGATCACATCTGGAAAGAGCACTATAGAAATTTTCTTCCCACATAACCGACACATCACATCATCAGGTAAACAGGTCTTTATCTTCTTGCTGGTGTAGAGCTTAGTCGGTAGAAGCTGCTCGTAGAGCTCATACATTCCTGCCACTGTGTAAAAAGGGCACACAGACCACTCCCATAACCAAGCAAAACATGCCTTCTATCCAGACCTTGGTCTTCTTCTCTGGCCGTTAGTAGCTTTCCTTGCTATTTCTCATTTTGGATCTTATCTCCACTGATTTTAAACCACACCATCCTGTCATTATTATTATTCTTATTATTATTAGTATTAGTATTTTTATTTTATTTTTATGGGACTGTGAAATGTTTTTTTTATGGAAACCCTGACCACTTGGAAGAATCATCTTTATAGGTGGAGCCAAGTAATGGCAGAAGAAGAACTCTCCCTTACATTATTGACGCATTTGACAAAATATACGTAGTGGTTGTAAACTCTAAAACAGGAAGAGGAATTGGTTCATTATCTTCAAATGAATGTCCTGCCGTGTCATCCTGGAGCATTTCTGGATAATCTGCTGCAATGTATCAGTTTTTATCAGTTTCCATTTTCCTGTCTGTTTTTTTCGGCCAAGCAGTACTAAGGATCAGAATTCATGTAGTGATAACTCATGCATAGATCTTGACAAATTTGGCCAGTATTGGTCAGATTTGCAATAACAACAGATAAATAATAATAATGTGGAGCTCATTGTCATTCATTAGGCCTTTTACAGTAATTAACCTACGCATTCTGCACTCCCTTGTAGGCCAGGTGCAGACATGACAATTAATCTGGTGCTTGCATAGTGAAAGTCCACTAAAATATCATGCAAATTATGCATGATAACTTCAATTTCCCTTCAATTTGGTTTGTAAAGCAGCCCAGTCAAAATAAGCTTGGAGCCAGCAAATTTGCTGCTTTCAGTGAAAATATTATTAGCTATCTACTCAAAACTTAGACCTACAGAGTATTTAGAAAAAAAAAAAATAATAATACACCTCATTTGAGTGTCAATGTGCTTAGCACGAAAGTACTAATTGGGGACACTATTTTTATGTCTCCTACTGGAGACGTGACGGCCATTTTACGTGGTCATCCGAGCCACTGGAAGATCTAGCTGTTTGCAGGGCAAAGGAAGTGCCTTCATTTGTCAGTTATTTAAGACCCTGAGTATTGGTCTGGCCCTGGGAATTGAATGGATGACCTTCCCCTCTGAGGTCAAGTGCTCTACCGACTGAGCTAATCCTGCCACCAGCACATTTCTCCACCATTAAAAACCACACAAATCTAGGCCTTTGCTCCCTGCTACCTTGGTTATCCTGTCTGCTAAAACATTTTGACTGGTTATTGGAATAATTTATTATAATTATCCCAATATATACTTGGTGGAGTTTTATCCTTAGTGTGACTTTTTCTCAGCTGAGGTAAAATATTCAATACAAAATACAGTGTACCATCTTTTTGGCTGCAAAGGGATATCAGTCCCACATCAGTGGACTCGTTGCATAAATACAGATGCTTTTTTGAGAAGCTTTGTTTAACGTTTATTGTTTTCTTTTCTTTTCTATCTATAGACGAAACCAGATAACCAGCTTTCCTTGACTCGACACGAGGAATGGTGACGTCCAAGACTTGAACTCATTGTTATTCGAATCGTGTGAGGGTCATCTTTAACCCGAAAATTGTAATAATGTTCTAAACCACTCAATATGAGGTAAGGAAGTTTGTAAAAGAAAAATTCTACCCTGGTAGATAAAATAAATATTATCATACAAAACTGCTTCCGAAGAGGTTTGTGTGAATGGTCACACCATAGGACTTAGTCCTACAGCACATTTTTCCGTCATTTAAAGTTGAAAAAGCATAAAAGTTATGTCTACATAATGTAATCTCTACACTGCACTTGCTTTTGCAGTGTTTGGGTTTTCCCATGAAAGTTAAACAACCAAGAGCACCTGAAATATTTTGTGCATGTGGACTGTGTAGTTACCAACATAGCAGAGTCAAAAGATCATGATATACTAGCAGACACTAAAAACAATGGACTAAAACTGTTACTACTTGCAGCAATAATTTTCTCACAAATGATTGCATGTTTTCTTGTAACTCAACAGCCTTCCAGAAATATTTATTTATAGTCTTCACAGTTTTTTGAGTTTCACAGTAATAATTTGATATTCTTTTGTTTTGTCTTGTTATTTCCACACAGGATTTAAGTTCAAATGAATTAGTGCACTTGCCCAATAGCATGGGAGAGATGATATCTCTAAAGGATTTGAACCTACGGAGGAATCGCTTAGAAGTTTTACCCGATGGTAAGATAACTATTACTTACTTGTTTTTATTTGTGTTTTTCATTAGCTGTTATTTCAAATGATGTTATGAAGAAGCTAAGCTAGTCAAACTTTTATTGATTTTTACCTTCTTTTCTCATTCCTCCCAATAAGTTTGCCCATCCTGTAAGAAATTATATGCCATTGTCACCCCATCATCTCCTTGATTTTATTCTGGATTCTGTGCTTAAACATCGACGAAAGGTAGTCTTTGTGTTAGTTACAAAATCAGGGTTGTCAGAAACTTTTGAAGGAGACAGCTGAGTTGTCAAAGTAAGCGGCCAGTCCAGGGATATTTTATTTTAAAAAAAACACCATCTGTAAAGAAATGCCAAGCAGAGTAGCTGGCTGATATTAACCAAGTAGGCAGCAATTTTCGCTGGCAGCCAGCTACTTTTGACAACCCTGTAAATGCATTGTTTTTCCTTTTTTATTTTGCAGAACTTAGTAAATTAAAATTGGTTAGGTTAGATTTTTCATATAACAAAGTGTCAGTAATTCCGCCTGCGTACCGGCTTATCACCAGTCTTTCTGTGTTGGAGCTGGCTCACAATCCTCTGACCTCCCCTCCTGCCCAGGTAGGTGCATGATCCTCAAACAATTGCCTTTAAAATGGATCGCAATTGAGGTTTTTGAAAACTTGTGAGTCTAACAGTATTTCAAAGTTCATTATTTTGGTTTGTAACCTTTGATGTGGGCTTTGAGAGAGATATTTGTTTGATATGAAGCTGTGATTTGTCATTTACCAGTAAATTCTTCCCTAACGTTGAATCCCTTAGCAAAAAAGGATGTTTTAAAGGCAATATTAAAACAATGAGCTAGATAGCCATGACAGACCCTTAAAGATGAAGCAGTCTTGACTGAAAAAAGCTTGGTCAAACATGACAGATTTGTTATAAAGGCAAAACTTGCTGTAGTCAGAAATTGAAAGATGTAAAAATTAGACTGGTTTGAAATTTTTTAAAACCTGGCAAAAGTTTCACCAAACCAGAAACAGATGAGCTGGGCTGTGGTGTTGAAGATGGTTGCAATGTAAGACAAAAGATTGGAAAGACACCACAACACAACACTGACAAGAGCTAACCTTCAATGGTTATTGCAACACTTTTTTTTCTAAATACTTATTATTTATAGTTTCTGACATCACGGAGGCGATATTAATGTCGCACAGCGATTAAAGTGCTGGACTTAAAATCCAGAGGCCCTGAATGCAACTCCCCCCTATATGCTAGCTGGATTTGTTTCTAACAGTCCTGGATTCAACTCTTACACTAGTCTTGTTGGCCATGCTTGTAAACAGCCAAGTGGTTGGCCTGCTACCAGTGGGGATTCTTAACCCTATTATTTTTAATAATATTTTTTGAACTAGTTGTTTCATTATCCCTGAAAAGCCCTTAAAGGGAGAGGATATTTATTTATTTATTTATTTATTTATTTATTAAGCAGTTAACCTGGTTACAGTAACTGCACAGTGAATCCTCGGGAAATACTTTCTGTCTTTTGACCTTTTGCTACTTCAGGTTTGCACAAAAGGGAGGTTACATATTTTCAAATACCTCAGTGCATCTGCACATGAACAAGAAAAGGTGAGTCCCTGTACCACTATCTGCTGAAATACCTGTAGGTTGTGTCTGCTCACCTCATTTCTGTAAGTTACAATAAATCCTCTATTAAGCCCCTTGGGGGTGGCATTTCAAGCTCATTTTGGGTGGGGGGGGGAGGGCTATTTAATTTAAAAATGACGTTGGTATCAGTTCTCCATAAAGAACTAGAATACAAAGTGGAGAAGCTCAAGTGGAAAAGCCCAGTGTTATTTTTGTCTTAATTGAATTCAATTGAAGTAATTGCCTTATTTTTAAGGCTACCTTCACATGACGCCAGATGAATTTTTGATCAGCTGAAAAATTTGACCAGCTGCTTTGTTTACACAGGACCGTTCAATATTTTCACTCTGTTCACCCAGCACTTTGAATGTCTAGACATCTAAATTTCCGCACAGTTAAGGTGGTTCCATGTAAAAACAAATCACCTAAATGCATGAATTTTCAACCAAAATGTCCGGTGCAGTTTGAACATAGTTTACTGACTACTTTGTTCCACGTGACAATTTAACAATAACATTATTTATGACACAAAAATATTAAACCTTCTCCATCTGTCACGACCATGGTACTGATTACTTTGTTGAGGATATTTGTATTGGTCTTGAAGAGAACTTTGTACAATCCCTACCCTAACAGTGCTGAATTCTCTGTAATGCAGTGATCTTGTTAGTAAAATCCACTCTCAGGTTAAACCAGAATTTTTCTTTTCTCTCATAAATGATAATAGGACCAGGGACCCCTTTCTCAAAAGGCCTGGTAACTTTTCGGGCCCCAAGGCAAATTTTAAAACAAAACCTGTTAAATAGTTGTACAGTTTCTAGCTCACAAACTGGTCAATTTTGCTTTTCATCGTATCATTTTCAAAATTATTGAAACTTTTCTAGAGTGCAAACACAGCAAACATAAAACAGCTTTCTGTGCCCGAAAAGTTGAGGTACTTTCGAAAAACAGCCCCTTGGAAAGAAAGGAAATTCAGGACCAAGCTAGGTTGATTACTGGTTTAATCTGAGAATGATTCGTACCTAGAGTGGATGCACCTGCTTTTCCTTGGTTCTGGCCATTAGGTGCCTGCAGTCGATCAGGAAGTTTGATATAAGATTTCTGTTGATAATCTTTCAATTTTTTTTTTCTCCTTGTAGAGAAGAAATTTTGACAGAAGTCTTAGAAAATATCCTATGGCAAGATCTTCAAGGTCTGTGTTAATTCTG